TGGCGAGCATTGTGTTGCCATGGCAACGGCATTTGAAGAAACCCCATAATTGACGTAGAGCTGTTGAGGGCTGGACCGGTGATATACAAGAGAAGTTTGGGGGATGATCGGACCGTTTCCATTGGACTTACAGCGACATCGTGCTTCATGGCGAGTGGTCTGTCGCCATGGCAACGGCATTTGATGACACCCCATAATACGCTTAGATGCGTTGATGGCTGCATCCTTACCAAACCTGTGAAGTTTTGGGCCGTTTGGAACATTTTCACTGAAGTTATGAGAAAACCGTGTTTCATGGCGAGCATTGTGTTGCCATGGCAACGGCATTTGAAGAAACCCCATAATTGACGTAGAGCTGTTGAGGGCTGGACCGGTGATATACAAGCGAAGTTTGGGGGACGATTGGACCGTTTCCATTGGACTTACAACGACATCGTGCTTCATGGCGAGTGGTCTGTCGCCATGGCAACGGCATTTGATGACACCCCATAATACGCTTAAATGCGTTGATGGCTGCATCGTTACCAAACCTGTGAAGTTTTGGGCCGTTTGGAACATTTTCACTGAAGTTATGAGAAAACGGTGTTTCATGGCGAGCATTGTGTTGCCATGGCAACGGCATTTGAAGAAATCTCAAAACTGTCTCGTAGATGTCTTCACGGCTGGACTGTTAGCACACATGTGAATTTTGAGCACTTTTTGAACATTTTCATAGGAGTTAAAGGAACATCGTGTCTTATGAGGAGGGATGCGTTTCCATGGAAACGGCATATGGTGAGATTTCAGATTTGGCGTAGAGCTGTTGAGGCATGGACCGGTGATATACAAGTGAAGATTGGGGGACGATTGGACCGTGTCCATTGGATTTACAGAGAGATTGTGGCCGTGTGTCAATTCAGGGGCTGCACCCTTCGGAGTACGCAGCCTACGCGGTCCACGGAGGACCCAGCCCACGTAGACCGGGTAGGCTGGACCGAGCGGCCTACGAAATGAGACGGTCTAGCCTACGGAGGGCTTCGTATTTACGTCACGTGATACGCGCTGTTCGGTTGCGCTGCTCCAGCAGCCTGCTAGCAAATTAGCTTACAAGCTAACTCAGCTGAAAAGGATCCAGAAACTTTACTTTTACTTTTACATTTTTTGGAGATCACCGTCGGCGATGAATTAAAGAGGACCATGGCCAGGTAAATAAGATGAAGCTGTTCCTTTAGCCCCCAGTAATGTTACATTAGTAAGTTAACAAGTAAACTATATATAGCTGATGTAATTTAATCATATTATTTCATATTTAAAATAAGTCTTAATTTTTCTGTACTAATAAAACAATATGTTTTTTAAATGAACAAAAGCATGTTGTATAGATTGATTCTTAACAATATTAGTGTTCTAATCTTAATAGCTGTGATCATAACAGTTGATATTCTCCTTCTTCCCCTAAACCTGCCCAGATGATGTCCCACTGACTCCAGGTCAGCACCTCCAGGTCTAGCAGCACCGTGACCCCCCGCTCTGCTGAAATACACAATTAAACATTTTCTATTACCTATTTTTTGTATTAATAAAATTAAACTGAAGACAGTTTAATGACCTAGAGATATCCTATTATTCCACTGCTTATGTACACATGTTGGAAATAATGGTTAAAACCTCAGTAAATGAAATAAACAATGTGTTTAACAATTACAATTTAATATAGTATTTTCATCTTATCACAAAGTAGAGGTAAGAATATATCCACCCTCTCTCTGCAGCTTCATGTCTTCTATTATTATAACTTTCATCATTGAGAGAGGAAATCAATCATGTTATTTAACATCATCAGCAGTAAAACAAATATCAGCAAAAGTGTGTTTATGGAGTTGTTTATTTGTATTATATGTGCAGCAAGTATATAGAAGCAGTTGTTTGGGGAATCACACAGACTCAAGCTATAATCGTTACATATCTATTAAAAGAAAGGACACATACAAAATCTAATTCTGAAACTAAGCCACAAGTCTGTAGGACGGCAGTAAGCAGAGGTCTGGGTGGAGGATGTTCCTGATCGCCGTTTTGCTTTCTCCAGCACCACGGGGTGTCCAGGTGGATGGCAGCTCTGTCCTGATGATCCGCTGGGGTTAGGGGTCCTTCTCCAGCACCACGGGGGGTCCAGGTGGATGGCAGCTCTGTCCTGATGATCCGCTGTGCACTTTTCAGATTAGGGGTCCTTCTCCAGCAGATCCATTTCTCCAGAATTTTACTAATAACAGAGAAAAACAAGAGAAAAAGAAAAAAGTTAATTAATCATATTAAACACAGGGTTGCAGAAGTATTATTGCAAAATGTAACTCTAAGCATTTCAGACAAACAATCCCTAAAGGATCATTCAAAATGATGTACTGTTCTGGTTTTTAAAAAACTAAAGAGATGAAATGACAGTCACACGTGCATCCCTTTGACAGCACGGCACAAACTAACATCAAGCAAAAGGCTGCTGTCTATTTTTGATTGTCTTATTATTATGGGATTAGGATACATTAAATAAACTTTAACCTTCTAAAAGATGATCAAATCTGGTGGAAATATTTAAAATAGGCTTTTCTTTTAGCCCCACCTCAAAGCAGCATGAGCTGAACACAAAGGTTGTAATGTTGTCCCAAAGTTTAATAAACAGTAAAACATTGCAACATGTCAGAGAAATAAATAAAGCTAACAGCAGCTACACGTCAGGGTAGCCTTTTATAAATCCCACCGTACTGTAGGCTATACAGGTCTAAATGTTTTCACTTTGGTCTATTTATGTAATATAAAGTATAACTTATCTATAACAGAGCCAAGATCTCTGTATGACTTTAGTAAACATCTGAATTGAATTAAAAATAAGTGTAAACAACAGTGCAGTACGTCCAGCTAGCTAGTTAGCGTCACATATTTATCCGTATTATTTAACGAAAATGTATGTTTTAATGCCCCTTGGGTTTGACGTGTGTGGCGTTAGTTAATTTAAAGTAAGTTAAAATCCAATACTCACATTTATTAGTGATTCCTCCGCTTGCTGCTGCTTTTAAATCCACTCTGCTGGGGAGACCGGAAGCCATTCCATTTGAAAAAAACTCACTCTTCCCTGCGCACATTGCACCCTGGGATATGGTAGGCCGCGGAGTGTACATCAGATGTATCCTTCAAATTGGGGAAAAGTAGGCTGCATTCGTGGGTCTCGTCTTTTTTTTAAATTGGGACAGCCTTCTTTCGGCGGAAGTGACATATGCGGTCTAAGAATGCACCCTTCGAAGGATGAAACCCCTGAATTGAGACACGGCCAGAGAGATAGAGAGATAGAGAGATAGAGATATGAACAGTTAGAACTGACTGCTGTCAGTTGTAGTGATGACATCATCGTGTTCCATTACACAGGTGTTTATAGTTGAGCTAACGAGCTATGTAGAGATCAAAGGTTTGCATTGTTCTGAATGAGAGATGAACCTCTTACATGTGAACGTTTCGTGGAAGAACCATAACAGATATCTGTGACATTTCAAAACGTGAAGCATGTCAAGGAAGTTGAGTATCTGATGTGTAATTTTTGTGTACTTTCGGGTTAATAATGTGGCCTTTTTGGCAGTTTAACTAAAGGTGTGCGGCTGCTGCTGTGAGGAAATATCAGCCTGAAATTACAATGGGTTTTAATGGAGACATGTTGAACGTGTTTGTCACTTCATGCCCTCAAGAGGCATTTTGTTTAATTATTTTGCTTAATTATTTGTCATTTTTCAAGCTACGAGATGTTTTCCTACGTTTGTCATGAAAAATTATGTCTCAAGAATGTAGGGTTTGGGAATTATGGCAGTTTTAAAAAAAAATATGAAAGCAAATTTCAAGATTTCCTACCCTCTAGCTGTGACATCACGCACTCTAGTTAATGTTAAAATCTGAAGAAAACCTCTTTAACAAGGTCTGAACAATGTTTAATATCTCTAAAAGTAAGAATCAGATTTAAAAGTTGTGTTACACGAATAATGTCAGAAAGATGTGTAACATTTTAAGGTTGGAATGAGGTTTCTGAGTGAAAGTATGAATGAACAGTTAGTTTAGTGAAGTCGCATGAAGATTGTTCAAGTCTGAAGATTTTCTCCATTGACTTCAATGGTTACAAATGTGATGAATTATGGGATGTATCTCTGGAATTATGAAAGTTATGAATAATCCAAAAGATAGCCATCGATTCCCGACCGAGCTGAACGTTTTGATGTTTGAACTGAGTTTCTGCGATGTTGAATGCAGGAGGAGAAGAGGTGCAAAGTTCCGGCGGAATAATAATAATTTTGTCCGTAGAAGAACATATAGTTGAAATGCTGTATCAGCATTCCCACTAAATAACAGCTTGGTGTGATTTGGTTAAGGAAGGGTAGCTGGAGAGGTTTGATAATTTGAGAAGACAATACAAATTGGGAACACATGAACTCTATAGATACCTTCAGCTAAGGGACTATTACAAGAAGGAAATCAGATCAGATTTTTCCAAGGTGTTGAATAATATTATCCAAATATATACTAAAACATATCAGGAAAGTAACATAAGAATCATTTCGGCATTATATCAAGGATTTATCAAAAATGACAAACACTCAACCAAATATATCAAGGTTAAATGGGAGGAAGAACTCCATATACAAATATCAGATGAAGATTGGCATGATATGTGGAGGACCCATCATTCATCCGCTAGTTTGCGAACCTGGAGGGAATTCTCGTGGAAGAATCTGATTCGTTTCTTCATTACACCAAAGGTGAAAAGTAAACAGATGCACAGTCGACAGAAGTGTTTGCGAGAATGTGGTTCTTATGATACTGACCATGTACAATGTGACAATAAAGATTTAATTTACAACAAACAAATGTTGTTTTTCTTGGTTTAAATAATCCTGTGTTAGGTCAGATTAAGAGCTACTAACACAATCATCGTTACCCTTGTGTCGTCAGTGTGAAATGTTCTGAAAATATGTACAGAATTTATATCAAAGACCCTTTCTCTTTCCTGGGGACAGGTTTGCTGACTCAGAGGGGGAGTCCCTCCCTCTCTCCCCCCAGCAGGGCTCTGGGGGGGCTGACTGGCCGAGCGACCGACCAGAGGATTCAGACAACCAGAGGAACGTCAGAAGAACCTGCCAATCCTCCATCCATGTTCCTCCTGTGACTATCACCTCCCCCCCTGGAGACACCACCCTCATACAGAGTCAGTTCACTATGCCACTTCCACAGCAACATTACATCCAAGTTCTGTTTTCATGGAAACACAAGTTGTGCTGAGTAAAGATACGCTGTTTACTGTAAGAAAGCAGGATGACAAACTTTGCAGTGTGTCCAAATAACATGGCAGAGTATAAATGGTTTGGTTACTTACAGGAAATACATTTTTCAGTCAAGTAATAAAGATGGTCGGGACGTGCAAAAAAAGGATCCGTCTGTACTGGAAGTGGGAATGTTGCTGACTAAGGTTGGCTCTGTGACATCTGGGCCCTAGAATGGATGTAAGGCCCCAAATCTAGCAGGACAGGGGCTTTTTTATGAGATTGTACACACTGAAAAAACTGAAATGTTGACTTTAATTAAATATATTATGTCAACAGATTTCACACAACTGCATTAGGTTAGTGGAAAGCAATAATATTAAGTTGAACCTAATATTTTTTATTTAAACGTAATATTATTGCTTTCAACTAACCTGATATAGTAATGTGAAATCTGTTGACATAATACATTTCATTTAAGTACATTCTTCCGTTATGTCAGTGTATACATTCTTCCAGACAATAGTTGTTACAGGGACCAATCAGAACACATGTTGGTTACATTTTGACTGCAGATTCTTTCATTGTGTCCGATGTTTGAACAATCGATCTAGTTTACCCTCCCATGGGGTTTTGAGGACAATCAATTAGATGTATAGAATGTTGATGACTGTTCAATGCCACTCTGACATGTCAATACTTAAATCACATCTCCAAATTGAGTAGGGGGATTACCTATTAGATGAAGACAGACAGTCAGACATGACGGTGATGACCCTGCCTGCATTGTTGTAAACTGTGTGTGTTTTCAGTGAACAGTATGGACTGTGAGACCATGCCCATGAATGATAAGACCCTGGCGGAGCTGGCTCCAAGTGGACCCAAACCCATCCTGCCTTACAGTTCTATGTTCGTCTTTGGACAGACCAACCCGTGAGTCACCTCCTCATCCTCCATCTTTTCCTTTCCCTTCTGTAGGACCTCCTACATGCTACAGGAGTTACACCACAGAGATTGTGTAATATGTATGAAGAAGTGGGCTAATATTCCCCAAAAATAAAACATATATTTGAAAGGGAAAAATAACTTTAAAACAATAAAATCCAGTAGATTACCTAATCAAATTATATTGCAGTGAGATGCAGCGATAAGAACAACCTGGTGATTTTAGCACAGACATCTAATTAAAGCTTCCAGGATTTAAAGAGATATTTGTGCTTACATACTCATTAGAACATCTGGATATAAGATACAATGAACAGATAAAGAATATACAGTATCAATGTTGCATACTGTTAGACCTCCTGGCTAACATGTGGCATTCCTTGTTACTGATATTTCTCCTGGAATATTACCCCCTTCTGTAAAATCTGTTGTACCTACCAAGGCCCTAATACTCTGTCTTTGACTTGTGTGCTTATCAGATATATTTAAGAGGTCAGAGTATGGCTGCAACACTCTGTATGAATAATGTATGTATATATTTATATCCACAGATTACAGGCATGGCTGTGGCTTCTACTTAGCCTTTATATCAACATTAGATGCATACTCACTGGATAGAATTAAACACTTACTTCATGTTTTCTTCACATATTCTTGTGTTGGCATTTTGCATATGTCCTGGTATTTCTTCATAGTGTATTTTACAGCTTGATTTGTGTATCATTTCTATTTATTCATATTGTTTCTTTCAGGATTTCTGCTGAAAAGGCATGCTGTCTATGTATTACATGATGGTTAACTGTTGCCTTATTTATACCACTATCTAAATAAATGTATGTTTCCATAGTTATACGTTGTCAGAAGACCATACTCATGACACACTGCTAAGGTGCAAGAAGGCCAAAATAGTCCAATATGGAGAAGGGAGGCTGAGCACAAGCTTTTCTCACTAAACTCAGGTCACTTTGTTAACAAAATGGGGAAGTCACTTCACAGAGTCCGTAATGTCAGAACTCATAGAGCTCAACCATCCACCATCCGAGTAACATAACTCTGAGAATAAAACAATACATACATCAGGTTGTAGTGTGGACTTAGTTATGTCTTTGATCTTGTGTCTCAGGCTTCCTGTGTCACTTTGTGAACTGTGTTCTCATGTGTACATGTGTAAAAAGCCACACGGGTGCTTTATATGGTTTGCCATATATTGTCATATTTTCGTTGTCCTAAGTTTGTATGTTTTTTTAGGTTTTTAGGTTATTTCTTTATAAATTAAATTCCTTTTTTGTGCAAATACTTTCCTTTATTCTATGTTATTGCTAAATAGTATATTAAAAATAGTTATTTGTATTATCTTTATATTTGTCAACTACTCATATAACTTATGTTCTTAGATTGTTTATGTCTGCACCAACAGACCCCAAAGCACATTCCTCGTATGTGTGGCAATAAACTGGATTCTGATTCTGAAGTGTGTTGAAGCACCAAACTGAGGAGATAGAAGCTATTCTATGTGTGTGTCCACTGCTCTCATGTGGCCACCTGTCTGTCCTCAGGGTGAGGCGGTTATGTCACTACATCGTGACTCTGCGATATTTTGAGATGAGCATCCTGGTTGTGATTGCTATGAGCAGTATCGCTCTGGCAGCAGAGGACCCGGTCTGGACCAACGCCCCGCGCAACAATGTGAGTCACAGTCTACACGTACTTCACACATAAACACATATATTTTAGCCTCACTGGAAAAAATTCTGCTCCAAGATCAAGTAAAAGAATATAAAAACAGGGGCCAATAGAACAAGTGAAAATGTGCTTGGTAAGATGTCTTGAAATAAGAAGGGATATTTAGCTAATCAGGTCATGTAATAAGCTGGGAAATCTTATTTTGAACTACATTTACCAGTATCAGGACATGTTGTGTTACAAAATAAGCCAGAAATGCTCAAAAGTTTTCTGTTTTCTTATGTTAGTTGGTGATTTATTTCTTAAAACAAGAGTATACATATTTTACAAACACCACAGCAGCTTTAAGAAACGTGTTTCTTCTCTATTCAGTGTGGTATGACAGTATATACGGAACATTTTATTATTTAATTTTAGAGCCAGTGAAGGTGGGTAATATTCTGAAAAAAGACTCACATATTGTGTGATTGCAGTTGTCGATTTACAGGAAAAGAGTTATCTGTTTCGGCACTGATTGAGTTTTCTTTGCAGGTGCTCAAATATCTGGACTATGCTTTCACTGGGGTTTTCACTTTTGAAATGGTGATCAAGGTAATCATGTCAATAAATACACATGTCAACACTCATAACTTCATGACTTCATTTTTATTCATTTAAAATAATAAATGATATCCTACTTTTAAATGTGGTTAGCTGTAATTTGGCCCATTATAGTGTTTATTTGACCGGTAGTCTACATAGTTTTATCTATGCATATCATTTACTTTTTACTTCGGCTTTATTGTCTATTTTCAGATGTTTATATTTAATGTTTATTTTTGTTTATGTTCTACTCTATTTCATTTTCACATTATGTGCAATGCCTGTTTCAAACATGCTGCTGTGACGAACACATTTCCCGAATTGGGATGAATAAAGTTCCTCTTATCTTGTCTCATCTTTAACTGCCCTTGAAGTGAAATTGTGATGACAGAGTATCTGACTGAAGTTGCTTATTCCTCATTATTCACTGAAAGTATGTCATTAACCATTCAAATGTGTTATATACATACATTATTTATACATATAATATATATGTTTGCTTTAGATGGTGGACCTTGGCCTGTTGCTTCATCCTGGAGCCTACTTCAGGGACCTGTGGAACATTCTGGACTTCATAGTGGTCAGTGGGGCGCTGGTGGCTTTTGCATTTTCGTAAGTTCAATGTCTCGTACCTTTTTGTTCTAAAGTGAAATGTGTACAGTTTGTAAATAGTTCATGTTGATATCTGCTATACCAGACTTACTATATATTACTAAACTTCATTTAGAAATGAAAAACATGCTCTAAGAGGGCTCTGTAACTTCCACTCAGTGGATCCAGTTCTCAGTGAACCCAAACTTTATTTGGGCCTCTTCCCAGGTTGGATGACTCAGCATTATGTTAATGTAGTGATGTGTACACACAAGGATCAAAGTGTAGAGCTGTGTCGGTAATTAATATACCTGAAACTGTTATTTCAACCATTATAAACACTTATATTAATATTATTGTTAAATATCTTTATTCTATAATTTTACAATATCATGTCCTGCCATTTTAAATGTGTATGAAACAGAATAAAATCCTTGTTCAAGGATTTTTGTATGATTGGACATTATTGTAGGGAGGAAAATGCTATTATATACTGTAAACTGTCTATCTTAGTATACATCTAATAAACACTAAACAAGAATCATACAAACACATACAAATCCTGGAAGAGCAAGAAGTGTGTGTGTGTGTGTGTGTGTGTGTGTGTGTGTGTGTGTGTGTGTGTGTGTGTGTGTGTGTGTGTGTGTGTGTGTGTGTATGTGTGTGTGTGTGTGTGTGTGTGTGGTGTGTGTGTGTGTGTGTGTGTGTGTGTGTGTGTGTGTGTGTGTGTGTGTTTATTGACATGATCCTCTCCCTGTTTCTGCGCTCTGTCGTTTTGAAGGAGCTTCATGGGGTAATGCCTCCTCTACCTCTCTCATCGTGCCTGTATTTGTCATTATATGTGTGTATGTATGTGAGAGAGACATACATACACACAATCACATTGCCGAAACAAGTAATTTCCTCCCATATTCAGTCTTACTCTTGGACATTTTTCAAGGAAAATTCTTAAACGTATTTTTAGTGATATTGATTTTATTGAGGTAACTTATTTAGTAAACCACTCTTTCTAATCTTCCTCAAGTTATATTTGACAATTATGCTTTATGTAGTCAACATATCATTTCAGAATATTTTCCTGTTAATAGGAATTAAGACTTGTTCTTCTGGGATTTCCAGCATTCCCTGAATTGAACCATGCCATGTTTTCTCAGAACACAACACACACAGCTGCATTTAATGCTGGTCCAGGCTTCTGTCAGTAGAAAGTGCTCCCACTAACGCTGGGTTTCTTTCAATGTTATGAGTGCTAAAGTGTGATTGTAGATGGAGCCAAAGAGCAAAGTCAACTTTAGTTTACAGATGCATCACCATCAGCTGTGAAGTTGTATTCTTCCCCAAACAGAGTGTAAGACATTCAGTATATGAAGTGAAATTGCTTGTGAGGATGGGTGTTTTTGCAGTGTTGTGTGTGAGACACACTCCCATCCTGTCACCATGAGATCTCGCTGTTGTGGTCCTCTGCTAAAGAGGGGCATCATCACTGTCTCCCTCCGATGGAGGTGTATTCATCAGCACTTGCCTTGCCACAGCTCTGCTCAGAATGTAATGATACCATCAACCTCAGCTTCTCCACCATGAGCTCACACAAGCAGCTGCATGAGTATCCTCAGGGAACGTCACTGTGATCCAAGCATGCACATTACATCAACAGAAGTACATGTATGATGACCATACTGTCACATCATTTACATTTACATACAGTTTGTTCTACACTATTGTCTACTTGCCAGTAGTGTGAACCCGGAAATGTTGAGTACCCCAAAGTTTTATGATAGAAATGTATAGTACGAGTCCCCAGAACATAGAAACTGCTGTATACTAGGTTGCATATGCTGGGCAATTGGCATCAATAAGCATTAATTAGCATATGCAGACAATAGCTAAACAAATTCTTGGCCAATTTCCTGTTTTCTTTAAGGCATATTGAGGATGCTGAATCTTTTTTTTTTGTGTCCCCTAAAACTTTAAAATTAACCCAAACTTAAAGGTGGGGTAGGTAATTTTGGAGAAACCAGCTCGAGTGTGCTAGAATTTGAAAATACACAACCGGAAAAAATCAGCCACTTCCTTACAGAGCCCCTCCTCCAACACACACGAATGCGCACATGACCAATGAGAGCACGAGATAAGTTTGTGCACAGATGGAAGGCTGACAGGCAGGTAGGCCATCCAGTTATTTTAGCCGGGCCGGGTAAAATGATTGGTCGTGCTTTTTACAGTATTACGGCTTCCACAGATGAAATTTTTTTATGGATTTTTTGTCAAAGCACTTAAAGGGCCCATGTCATGGCCATTTCCACTGATCATAATTACATTGTTGAGGTATACTAAAATAGATTTATACTGTGCAATTTTCCAAACTCACATTGGTTTCGCATACAGCATCTCTGTCAAGCATGTGTATTCAGCAGTATTCACTTTCTCCACTAAACGACTCGTTGGAGCTCTTGCCCCCCCCTCCCTGTGAGCCTAGTGTGCTCCGATTGGTCAGCTCGGCCACTCGTTCTGATTAGTCAACCACCAGAGAGGCTGCGCCCATGTCAGTGCTTTTCCCGGCTGCTCTCAGCGTAACATCAGTCTTATCATGGCGTCGGTACAGCGGTATATTTTATATACATATATATTTTTAACTGTTGTTATAGAAGAGTGTGACGGCCCCAGGGCCTTTGTCTTACGATGGGGTGGAGCTGAAGAGGCTAATCAGCACGATCACGGACACCTCCGGACACAGTCTCTCTCCAAAGCGGCTGCAGGAAGACTAACTCTGCGATCCTCTCAACCACCTGTCCCTGCATTTACCACAATAAATGTGCCGTGGTTTTGTAAACTCGTGTATGTCTCCTTGTCTTTCCGTTGTGGCCTACGAGCTACTCTCATAACAAAGAGTAAGTTATTTTTACCCGTTATAAACTACTACTGTTTGATGAGAAATCAAATCATGGTTTGCTATATATGAATTCAGGGAAGAAAGGATAGGCCTACTAAGTATTTCCATTAAACTTTATTTTTAGAAATGTACAAAATGAACATAAATATACATATATACACGGTATATCATCCATTCCTCCTCCTCGCATCTTGCCTGCGCACAGTCGGTGCGGTGCCTTTTAGCACGACGCCTCAGTAGTAGTAGAATCCCTTCCCCGTCATGGATTGTCCGCCAGGATCTGGCTGGACGAAATCAAATGCAAATCACAAAATATTAGAGAAACTTAGTTGTTTTAGACTCGTTAGTAGTAGTTGTGTAATGAACAGCTTGCCTGCTAATATGCTAACCTAGCTTTGTTTACCTTGGTAGCTAACACGATATGAACGTTAGCTTGGAGGAAAGGCAACTATAATGCAGTGTAATAAAACTACTATGAACAAAAGCTAGTGGTTCATATTAGGCTAGCAATAACGTGTTTATAATTGCAATCGTATACGGGTATTCTGCTACGTTCGGTCATACAATGTAACTTGCATGAATACATTGTTTTGCGCTAGCATACAGCTAGCCTCGTTAGCTACATGCAGTATATGTACGGTCACAATGTACGGTAAATCACAGTACAGTATACTGTATGAGTATTCCGTGTGTGTGACTGCAGACATTCTCCTGCCATGACAAACATGTAAGGCCATCTGCTGACATTGTAGTTGATATATTTAAACGCTAGCAACGTAGCATCACAAAAATGTTTTTCTGACCAAAACTAGCTCTAGCTCCGTGTGTTAGATCGCTACGCCAGCTATAATGTAATTACGTTTCGCGACTGACCGGCAAATCACCCGGAGTATACTGTCAATAGGTATTTTGTGTGTGAATGCAGACATTCTCCTGCTATGAGATACATGTATGCAAGGCCATCTGCTGATATTAGAGTTGATATATGGAAACTCTAGCAACTTAGTTAGCACAGTTAGCACTGTGTCAATGGCTTAGCAGTCCAACACAGTTTACACATTTAAACAGTCTTGTTTGATAAATACACAAATAACAATGCAAACTTACAGGTTGTATACCCAGATCTTCCCCTGCTCCAAACGGTCCAAACAAGCTGTGCATATCCGGCCTCAAACTGGGCAATGTTTTGGAAGCTTTCGTCTGTGAAATGTTCAATGTTCTTCGAACCTCTGGAGGAGGAACACGCCGCTGCTGGTGTGGCCATAGCTCTTCGGGATTGGTCCATTTCGTTCCGGGTACCGCATGACATCAGGCGGTACCCGGAACTAAATGGAAGACTCAAATGGGCAGTGACGTATCTCCAACGAGGCGTTTTGGGGAGGTATTTTCTGTGTTAGAGTTTTACTCGCTACAGGGTGTACTTTGAGGGTTTTGACTCTGCACACCGTTTACATGCATAAAAACCTTCATAACACACAAGGGGACGGGTAATAACCGGAAAAGCATGACATGGGAGCTTTAAGATATTCATTGCCATCGGGATGTTAAGAGCATTCCATGGAATATAACAAAAAGTGTATCTCGAGCCGGTTTCTCAAACTTACCTACCCCACCTTTAATCAAAATCAGTCCTCTGGGAGTACAAATATGGCCACTTTCTGGTTCAAACTGCCATTATTGATTCTGAAAATGTCAGAAATTGATTCAGCATCCTCAGGGCCGGCCCTTGGCATAGGCAGTATAGGCGAATGCTAAGGGCGCATCAACCTATGGGGGGCGCCGAACATTTTTATTTAAATAAAAAAAAAAATTACATTTAACAAAGGGGGGAGGGGGAAATTCAACCAATCACAAAACGAACTTGTTATGATAAGTGCATTCTTAATTGATGAAATTGACCTGCCGTTATCTTTCAGATTGTGAAATTATGCAGGATGAAATATCATTTCGTATTAACGGGCCTAGTGTTTTAAACTACTTAAACAAATGTTTAAGTAGTATAATGGTTCTTATTTTATTTGTATTAATAATTCTGTATTAACACTATTTTTGGAATTCATATTGAACACTGGATCTCCATAGCTATTATGTTTTAATACATTAAGTCACACATCTTCAGCAGGTTAAATCAAACTCAAATTATTCTCACAGGCTGTTTTGACAGTATTTGAGACAGCTGTCAATCACTCATCATGCATGTCCCTGCAGCTCACTCTTCCTGCAGTCTATTCGTCCCCCTGCCTGTGTGAGGGACAGAGAATCACATCACATCAGAACCCAATCTGTAAATCATCCTCTCACTAGAATCACATTTGCTGCTGCAAACTGCACTACTGCTACTTATTATTATCAACTTCAGATGCTAGTTATAACCAGGCGTTCAAGGATCACATTTTGATTTTTTTTTTAAATACTTTTTTGTATAAATGATTTAGGCTTTGGTTACGGACATTGTATCAGCATGCAGATAAGAGAACAGAAGTTCCATAATCACAGCTTTGATTTGTGTTGCAATGTTATGTTTTTGACTGGGATTTACCCACTCAGTTGTCTGCTAGCAACTTAAACATTTAAAATTGGATGTTTTTATCAGTAAGTATGGTGTTGTCATTTGATGCAAACATATGCTTTATTCTGTTTGTGTGTGGGAAACATCCATAAATGAGCTGTACCTTGTTTTACCACTGTTTTCCCCCCAAGTAGATCGCAACAAGGTGTTACCAGGTGGGGAACCTCCCTTTCCACCCTGACACGCCCCACCCCACACCCACCCTGTACCCATTCCCTACCCTTTTCCCTGAATCCATCAATGTATTTTTGTGTTATAATTGTTGACTGAGAAACGCCTAAGAGGAAGTGTAACCTGTTGTTTAAGAGTGTGACTAGTCTTCAGTACTGCCACTGCTGCCACACTGACTGATAATGAAGCATCACAGCCACACAGAGAGGGTCATGTTATGTTATGAACTGTTTGCCTAAGGTCTTATGTTAAACTAAAGATTAAACAGTGAAACAGTCTCCTTTTCCAACTTAGAATTGATATCTACAGTTTTTTTTAGTCCAACGTTGAACACAAGTTAATACTTAACTGCTCATGGCATCATTCTCATTAATGGATAAAATTGCTTAATATACCTAGGTGGCTTGCCCAAGTAAAGTAATTTGGCATATGAGAATAAAGGCAGACTTTATACACATCTTAACCTACACATACTTATTTTGTAATGCAATTGGATTGCTGACTAACACATGCATGCTCTCAGGGATAAAGAGAGAGACCAAGGACTGTAATGAAGGTAACCATAGAGCAGTATTGAAAACGTTTTAAAACTGATTTGTTCATTCAACAAAATAATCTGATCTGAGCTAGATGTCCTTATTATCATTTGAACCTTCAGTCACCTTTAAGTGTCTGTCTTTTGTCAAATTGTTCATGTAAGGAGTCCAATCTCCCATCATGATCTGACCTCAAACTATCTGTTAGTGTCTGATCTAACTGACCTATGTGCATCAGAGCATGGAAGTTGATGCATGTGGTTGTGATGGAGTAAAGAGATGTCATAAGGTTAAATGACAAGAAAGAAGCTCCATCACAACATCAGATAGATGTCAGGCTGTTTGAGGGTAAGGGGAGTATCTGAAGGGAGCTCAGAGTGGTGCAGCTGCTCCTTTATGTGTAAGGAAGAGTTGAGGTAGTTCAAGCATGTGAGAGGGGCGTCTCCTCTGTGATATGTTTCAGTCACGACCCTAGGTTAGATTTATACCATGCAAGAAGGATAATATATTTAATCTGGCTTGGGAATCCTACGGATCCTCCAGGAGCAGCTGGAAGACTAACTGCATGCTGCCAATGCAATCTGAGCCAAGAGATATTTCATTTTGGTTAAAGAAAAAGTTCTCAGTGAGGAAGAAGCTCAAACTCAATTGTATCGTCATGTTGATAGGGTGTAAATACACTAAATCTTGTGGTGTGGTCAAATGAAAGTACTGTGGTAGAGTATAAATAACCTGATTTAAAACAATAAAAACATACACAGAGTTCTGCTCCATATCTAACTTTTCCAATCTTTCCCATCTTCTCTGTACACAAGGTAACAACAGTACCACACGGAGTTCATGAATGCATTGTATTCCTGGTGGGGGAGGGCAGGCTTCAAACTAACCAAAATGTTTTCTTTCTTTTTTTCTGGAAATTGTAAAGGGTTTTTTCAAACACTACGATACACCACACAGGATATTTCTGTCTATCCATGACATAAAAAGTGTTAACTCAGAGAGAAGTCACTCTAACCCGTTTCCTTGGCTCTGTGTAGGTGTGGTTTGATCAGATTCAATAGTGGTTACCCCCAAATCAGACATTGATTTAAATAATGCTGAAATCTGATGGAGTCAATGGAGATATTTCAGATTGATTTAGCATCTGGGCCCTGCCCACTCAAACCAATAAAAGGAGCACAAACTTAAAGATAAAACACAGAAATATGACGTTAAATAAGCAACTGTTGGCAGGAAAACAGTTTCTACATGTAGGATCACTCCTGGTAACAAGCTTATTGAAATGATAGGTTTACAAGGACAAATACACTTTTGGTATTGTAGGGACTTTGACAGGATTGACATAAAGCCTGAGTGTTAGCATGTCTTAGTAAAAATAAAATAAATATTAGACAGATAGTTGGAGAAATTGTAACGTGACAGCTCATGAGAAAGAAAACACTAACTGTAGTGGAACTTCAAAAGGAATAAAGAAACCATTCTGTCAATGAATTGATGAATTGCATGAGATTTCATACTTACTTGTTCAGGTAAACCAGGATTACATGACACTCACAGTGGAGTTAGGAGATGCATGTGTGAGGTCTGTATTGTTAAGTGTGTACTGCTCAGGAAAAATGTCACAACAAATCACACATACTGCACAGCGTGTCTTTAAGATGTCTTTCCTCTAATATTCATTCAATTGAATATAGTAATATATTTTAACCTCATCTTTAATTTCTTGTTTTGTTTTGGAGACACCATCAAACAGTCTCATTCAGGTTTTTAAGTCTTCTCTTAAACAACGGTCTAGAAATAAACTGCGGCTAGTCCTTCCGTCACTGCAAACTAAATAAAGAGTACACATAATGTTAAAGTTGTTGTTTGTATAACTGTGTTTTCCTTCCACAGGGGGACCAAAGGCAAAGACATCAGCACCATCAAGTCACTGAGAGTTCTCCGAGTGCTCAGGCCTCTCAAGACCATCAAACGTCTGCCGAAACTCAAGGTTCTGCTGCAGTGCTGACTTTGGTTTATTTTGATATTTGAATCAAAGCAGGGCTTTGATAAAGAGAGGGCATCTTGTCTACAGCAGGCTGCTGCTGTTTTTAGCAAAGAGGAGGAAATTGTGTGAAAGGCAAACAACAGAGTAGCAGTGCCTGCACAACACTGGATGTATATGTAATAATAATGAGAAAGTCCTGTATATTCAGAAATGATGTTCTACCTTATCCCCTAATCAAATAGTGTGTTTGCTTCTGTGTGTCCTCAGGCGGTGTTCGACTGTGTTGTCAATTCTTTGAAGAACGTGCTGAACATCCTCATTGTTTACATCCTCTTCATGTTCATCTTTGCCGTCATCGCAGTTCAACTGTTCAAAGGGAAATTCTTCTTCTGCACAGACGAGTCCAAGGGCCTGGAGAAAGACTGCAAGTCGGTCTACAATCCCCTCCTCCTCATTCCTTATCTCAGAAACATTGAAATTGTCAACATTGTAGCATTTGTGCTTACCCTGTTCCTTACTAACCCCACTCAGCGTTATTTATGACTTTATGTCTTCCAGAGGACAGTTCCTGGACTATGACACAGAGGAGGTGGCGGCGATGCCCAGGGAGTGGAGGAAGTACGAGTTCCATTATGACAATGTGCTGTGGGCCTTCCTGACCCTCTTCACTGTCTCCACTGGGGAGGGCTGGCCAACGTAGGTGCAGCTCGATTCATTCCTTTAGGTTGACGCTTTGTCTTCTCCCAGATGATCTAACCCTTACCCTCTTCTCGTTGTTTACTCGTGTCTGCCACTTTTGATTCAATAAAAGTTGGTTACTGACAAGCTGTTCTTCTTCTCCCTCTGGACTGAGGGCAGACTGGCTCTACAGAGACTCACTGTCGCCTCTAGAGTAGTGGTTCTCAACTGGTCAGGCCTCGGGACCCACTTTTTCCTTTGTCAATCAATCGCGACCCGAAATTCTTGAACCACTCAAATCTATTCAACAAAAAATCGTGCTGTAATATATACGCTTTTCAGCATACATTATTAAAGTGAAGTACAGTGCATATATCCCTTCACTAAACTGAAGAATGCTTTTAAATAAGGTTTAATGAGATGATGGAATCAAAGATGAACTGTATAACATAAAAAGGCACACATGCTGAAAACCCAACGCCAGAAGGGGGGTCTGGGGGGATTCTCACCCAGGAGATTTTTAGAAATACTAACATATAAACTACGCATTCTGGTACACTCTGAGAAGAAAATAAATAAATCTATTGCTACCCGACATATTAATAATATTTTATGCCATTGTTTGTTTTTCACTTAGTTCTGACAGCTTGCTGCTCCACACAGAGAGAAGAGCAAAGAGTAGATAGTCTGTGTGAATTACTTTCAATTGTGGGTAAGGGTAGATAGCTCCCATTGTTCTGTGACCTGTCAATCATCAAACCGGGGGTCATATTTCATTATGTGTTCATTTTTATCTGAAATTGTACCCATGGATGTATAAAGAGTAGTTCTACCGCAAAGTTATTCTCCGTGGGGACTTCCGGCAACAATCTTTATGGTACATTTTTTTATTGATTTTCTCAGTTTTTTAACAAAAGCAAGTGATACAAATTCAGTAAAGATATATACACACATGCTGACAACTCAAAATCTTCATTTCAATCCCACCACCCACCACCCACTAACCCATTGAGTTACAGGATACAGAGCCCTTTAACAGTAAAATACAGTATTTTCATAATGACATTAGTTCAAGGGGGGCAAAGGAGGAGAAAAAAAAAAGAAAAGAAAAAGAAAACACAGAGATAAACACAAAGAAAGAAAATAATAAAAATGATAATGGAATAGAAATAAAAAAATAAAAAATAAATAAATAAAAAGATGAATCAACTGCTCACTGCTCACTGCTCAATCCAACCTTATTATTTATCAAGTGGATCTTGTAAGGAGTCATAGAAGTCCAGAAAGGGTTTCCATGTTCTAATAAAGGTGTTAGAGGAGCCCCTGAGTAAGAACTTAATTTTCTCTAGCTGTAAGAAGTACATAACATCTTTGACCCACTGAGAAAAGGATGGAGGGGAATGTTGCTTCCATTTTAGAAGAATCAAACGTCTCGCAAGAAGTGTAGAAAAGGCTATAACTATCTGAGCACTGTTTGGTAGGGATGCACAGGTCACCTTTGGTGCCAAACCAAAAAGGGCACAGAGCGGGTCAGGCTCAATACGAGTTTTAAACATTTCACTAAAAGATTTAAAAATACATCTCCAAAAAGTAAAGAGGCTGGGACATACCCAAAACATGTGTATTAGGTCTGCTGGCTGGCTTCTGCATCGGGGACAAGACGGTTCAACCTCTGGATACATTTTAGCCAATCTAGCGTTAGTTAAATGAGCTCTGTGTACCACTTTCAGTTGTATCAGGCTGTGTTTAGCAGAAGAGGAAGATGTGTGCACCCGGTCCAGGACTGATTCCCACTGGTCATCCGTCAAAGTTCTTCCCAGATCAGATTCCCAAGCAGCTCTTAAATGTTCAATAGGGTTCGGATTGACATTACCAATGAGATCAGAAATCAGTGAAATCAGTCCTCTACGGTCTGACTTCAGTTCGAGGATATGGTCAATATGTGACTTTATGGGCTTATTTGGAAAAGAGCTGAATGTCTTACATACAAAGCTCCTAATTTGTAGGTAACGAAAGAAGTGATTTTTAGGTAGGCTATACAGTTCAGATAATTGAGAGAAAGATGCAAATGTGTCTTCAATGTAAAGATTATAAATTGATTTAATCCCATTATTAAACCAAACAGTAAAAGCCGGGTCTGTACAGGATGGGGTAAACATGTGGTTTGACTTAATGGGGGAGAGAACAGAAGCACCCTGTAGTCCAAAGTGCCTCCTAAACTGAGCCCATATTCTTATTGAATTACTTACTATTACACTCGACTTCAAATTAGTGTTGAGAAGGGGTAAACCTGTGCAAACCACTGAGCCCAGGTGGTGTTGATATGAAGAAAACTCTAATTTCACCCAGTCCGCTTTTTCTGACATCGGTTTGTTTTCAAACCAGTGTATCAACTTCTGAATGTTGCATGCCCAATAGTAGAAAAGGAAATTAGGTAGAGCGAGACCTCCTGATCGTTTTGGCCTTTGCATATGAGCTTTACTGATCCGACTAGGTTTATTCCCCCATAGGAAAGAAATAATACATTTATCAAGAGTCTTAAAAAACGATTTCTTAATAAAGACGGGGATGTTTTGAAAAAGATATAAAAACTTTGGTAACATTATCATTTTAACGAGATTGACGCGCCCTGTTAGAGATAATGGTAAGGAGGCCCAGCGGTTCATATCTTGTTTACACTTATTGAGAAGAGTGGTAAGGTTTTTAGTGAAAGTAGTAAGGAGAGAGCGAGTGACCTCAATTCCTAAATATTTGAAGCCATCTTGAGCCCTTTTAAAGGGGAAAAGGCTAGGGGGGAGTACATCTGCTGCAGAGTTTAAAGGGAAAAGTTCGCTCTTTTGTAAATTTAATTTATAACCCGAGACTTTCCCAAATTGATCGAGGATATCCAGGATATAGGGAAGCGATGAGGCAGGCTCGGATACATATAAAAGCAAGTCATCCGCGTAAAGGGACACCTTCAACTTTTGTCCTGCCCGATCAATGCCTTTGAAATCCTTACATAAACGGAGTTTTGTTGCCAAAGGCTCAATTGCTAGCGCAAAAAGAAGTGGGGAAAGCGGGCATCCCTGTCTTGTACCTCTTCCAAGGGGGAAGTAATTAGACCGAGTGTTATTAGAGATTATAGCAGCCAGGGGAGAGGAGTAGAGAAGTCTAATCCACGCAATGAATTCTTTTTTAAAGCCAAATTTTTGGAGGGCAATGAATAGGTATCTCCATTCGACCCGGTCAAAGGCCTTTTCCGCATCAAGTGATATTACTACCTCTGGGTCTGGTGACCGGGCCGAGTGGACAATATTAAATAGTTTTCTCAAATTTGAATACGAATGTCGGTTCTGGATAAATCCTGTCTGATCAGGAGATATAATATCTGGAATCACATTTTCCAGACGTTTGGCCAGGACCTTAGACAGCACTTTAAAATCTACATTTAGTAGGGAAATAGGGCGATATGAGGAGCACAACAATGGGTCTCTGTCTTTTTTCACAAGAAGGGAGATAGAGGCTTGTCGTAAAGTCATAGGAAGGGAGCCTGAAGAGAGTGCTTCTTTAAACATTGTCTGAAGAATTGGTGCTAGTTGAGGAGAAAACTTTTTATAAAATTCAGTAGTGAATCCGTCTGGGCCAGGTGATTTGTTGTTTTGCATTGATTTAATGGCCATAATTATTTCGGATGTTGAAACATCTGCGCTCAATTTAATGTTTTGTTCCTCTGACACAGTAGGAAGAGGAACATTTTGAAAGAAGACCTCAGGGTCCTCATTACATTCTGAGGCATAAAGGTTAGAATAGAAATGCAGAAAAGCTTTATTTTTGTCCTCATGATCTATCAGTGTCTCTCCTGTATGTGACAGAATTTCAGTAATTGACCGAGCGGCAGCTGTTTGACGAGCTTGCAGGGCCAGGAGCTTATTCGCTTTGTCTCCAAATTCATAGACATTATGCCTGGATTTCAAAATAAGACGCGTTGCCTCATCAGTAGTTAGAAGGTTGTGTTCAGTTTGCAGCCTTAGACGCTCCTTATAAAGGTCTGGGGTTGGCGATAGAACATATTTCGAGTCAATAATCGCGATTTGATGTGATATCTCTTGTAGCTTTGAATATTTTTCTCTATTAATTCTAAAGGAGTAAGCTATAATATACCCTCTGAGGTAAACTTTAAGGGTCTCCCACAGTGTGGCGTTAGATATTTCAGGAGAGGTGTTTGTTTCTAGAAAAAAATTGATTTGGTCCGAAATGAATTCAACGAAGCGCTCATCAGATAGTAGGAGAGGATTGAGTCTCCAAACTCTGTTCGGAGGGGGGCGATTTGGAAGATCCAGTTCGAGTACCATGACACTATGATCAGATATAACTATGCTATTATATGAGCAAGTCTTAGCCCTGGGTAATAGTCTATTATCAAGCAAAAAATAGTCTATACGGGTGTAGGTATGGTGCGCGTTGGAGAAAAAAGAGTAAGCTCTATTGTGGGGAAACTTAAATCTCCATACATCGGAGAGGGCACAATGGCTCATGAAATCCTTCACAACTCCAGCTGATTTTGAAAGATTTTGAGGGGAGTTTGACGACCTATCCAGGGTCGTGTCCAGTACAAGGTTAAAATCACCTCCCATAATAACAAATCCATTCTCAAGCCTAGGTATTTTAAAAAATAGTTTCTTAAAAAAACTACTGTCATCACAATTGGGGGCATATACATTTACCAAAATCACTGGGTTAGCAAAGAGCTGCCCAACCACAATAATATACCTTCCATTAGGGTCACTAATAATTTCCTTTGAGTGGAAAGAGATGTTCTTGTTAATCAATATGGCTGTTCCTCTAGCTTTTGCATTGAACTTGGAATGAAACACTTGACCGACCCAGTTTCGTTTGAGACCATTAACATTGATATTACACAGATGAGTTTCTTGTAAGAAAGCTATGTCAACCTTTAGTTGTTGTAAGTGAGACATAACCCTCTGCCTTTTATTTGGGTTATTAACTCCTTTTACATTCCAAGATACAAACTTGGT